CAAATGGCTCTTTGAGCATTTAAAGTTGCCGGCCCCTGCCCTAGTATATGAAAATAAGAACAAGCTCCACTCCCTTCTAGTACTGATGATGTTACCTAGTTTGGTAACGAGACGTCTGCAAGAAAACCACCAAGCTCAGAGAGCACCAAGGGCCCCACAGTCCTTTTCCTCCTCCTCCTCCCCTTCCTCCTTTCTTCTAGCACTGATGATGTTCCCTAGTTGGGTACTGAAACGTCTGCAAGAAAACAAGCAAGATCAGAGAGCACCAAGGGCCCCACAGTTCTTTTCCTCCTCCACCACCTCTTTCTCTTCTCCTCCCTTCCTTCCTCCTTCCTCCCTTCTAGCACCGATGATGTTCCCTAGTTGGGTACTGAAACATCTGCAAGAAAACAACCAAGCTCAGAGAGCACTGAGGAGCCCCACAGTCCTTCTCCTCCTCCATCTCCTTCTCCCCTTCCTCCTTTCTTCTAGCACTGATGATGTTACCTAGTTTGGTAACGAGACGTCTGCAAGAAAACCACCAAGCTCAGAGAGCACCAAGGACCCCTCATTTCAATCCTGAGCGCCAAATATTCTGGTTAGAGCTGAGGTGGAAGTTAGGGGCCTCCTACTGTATTTCAAGTAGCCAGCAGGTTCATTCTCCACGATGGGCCTTGTAGTCCTAGAGGCTGGCAGCTTGGAAAACATGACTCAGAAGGCCTCCTTCCTCCTTCCAGGTTTAGCACCCGAAAAGGCGAAAGACGGCAAGTCATACACCTCCATTGTTTACGGCAACGGGCCAGGATACCAGATCAATGCTCAAGGCCGACCGGATGTGTCCGTGGAAGAAAGTGGTAAGAGGGATAACAGGAGCCGAATTGGGTTGGGGGTTAAAAACCCGCAATGGGTGGATGCAGTCAGCCCCCCCCCCCCTGAATCCCCAGCTGTAATTTTGAACTCCGTTTCTCATCCCTCTTCCAGCCAGATGGCTGGGAACGATGGGAGTTGTAGTTCAGTTTGCCCATAAGGCACTCTGTGGGCAGCTTTTGAGTAAGAGCACTATAAGGAAGAAGCGGCTGCGGACAATAT